AGCTGGATGCCGACTCAGAGTTTCCACAGAATTTCACTCTAGCACGTTCACAAATAGCAAACGAACAATGAGTAAAACTATCGCGCAAAGGTAGCTATCAGCAGAGTTAATAACATACCTACAAAAAACGACGAAGTTATGACCATCAAAAATTTTAACTTCTCATAACGTGCCGCTAAGAACCATACTGCGACTAGCAATGCATTTCTGTGAATGACAGTCAAAACGCAGTGTTGTCACAGAATTTTTTATTACTGTCATTTAGTTCGTTAACAATCTAACTCAGATCAACTATTTCAGTGGCCTTTACTCGGTTCCGTGAAAAGCACAAAACTATGATTATGTTCATGTTAGCCTTCAGCAGGTAAAAGTGGCTCAATAAAATCAGTGGGTAAGTTCGAGTTATTGTATTAAATTGATTGAATTTTCTGCGCATATGTTTCTTTCACCTGTGCTGAAAAGCAGGATTCTTCAACTACCTCGCTCAAGTAACTTAAACTTTTCAATTTTCAAGTTAGGGGCGCTAAGTCACCCACTAAAAATTTGTTTATTCTCAACTTCGGCGTTGAATCACGCAAGCATGAAATAATTTAATGTTGCATAAGCAGATGAATTTCCTTAAACTTAAGCGCAAAGACATGCTTCGCTCAACCGAAAAGTTTCGTTTTACAGGTACTGAGAAGGTCCCCGATGCGGTGATGATGTGGACAGAAATGGATGCATCTTCTTTGTCAAAGATTGCTAAAGATTCTTGAAAGCGCAGTTTTACTTCGCGTTTCGTCATTTCAATGTAGTACTAGTAAAGTGAAGAAAGTGTGGCACTGAAATTTACGAATAACGCAGTTACGTGTTTCTGGTGCTGCAACTATGGACTTATTGTACAACTAATCATGAAACGTTGTGCTTTTTGTTGAAAGCGACTCTCAAACATACCTTGACAAACTAACTTTTAAAGAAAGGTGATGCTTAGAAAGGAGGAAAAGAACATCTGCTTCAATGCTTTCGGCTTCCTGCGAAAGTAAAGACTGTACGGCACGTAAAGTAAACAGCGGTATAAAACTTTTGGATGGTAAGCGTTTGTCTGAAAGTATTTACGTAAGAATTCGGTCTCTTTTAGATGGAATTTATCACGTTGCAAAAATTAAAGGCTGGTCTATGCATGGTGTTCACGACACTTTTATAACTAAGGGACGAACAGCTGATACAGGATGTAAGGATCTGCTCGGACGTTATTCGTTACCAACGAAAATATACTCAGTACAAAGTACCGTAGTCCAGCATCAACATTCTAAGTAATTTTCGATCTCGTTCTTCTTCAGACATTATTTCACTGATTTTCTCAGTCTGGGAAATCGATATGCTGTGAAATTTTTTTTGTAATGCAGCTGTTTACCGATGTTAGAATGATTATCTCAAACTGACAATTAAGTACTGAACAACAGTTTGACGGCTTTGTCACAATGAATAAGAAAACTTTTCCTGTTTTATGCAATTTCCCGCCATCGACGTTTCCTAACTTAATCGTTGTAAAACTGAAGCAAATGCGCCTGGTGTTACCTTGATAAGACCGCTAATTCACCTGCACTCTGATTTCGGCGGATTACACGCACATTTTAAAAACTGTGCGATGATCGTAAGAAATGAATCCCTTTGTCTCTTTCACTTCCTCGGTACTATCACAGAGAGCTACTGCGTCGAAGATAGCCAGAGTATTGAACTCTGTAAAGGCAGATTTTTCCACATCATGAAAGAAAACAGCAACGCAAGTTGCTCGATGACTCGGAGAGTTGGTCGCCGTAGATACGCTAGGCTGGTCAGCTGCGCAATAGGATAATCTTAAGGGTTATAACAGGCCGATAATTTGACGAAACTGTCCAACGAGGTACCGAAATGAGCTAAGGCAAAAACAGTAGTCCGTAAAAAGAACACTCGCAATAAGCTATCGATCTGCAGGGAACATAGTTTCTACTTTTGACTTGCGCTACGAAAATATAACAACTGCTTGCTCAAAACACAAAGTGACAATTCACTCAATGCATTTACAGGAATTATTAACGGCCATCTACGCCTTGAAAAACAATGCGAATCCAGAAACATCCGTAAGAGGCAAAGATACTGGCGATCAGAAACAAAACTTTGACAAAGATGCCAAGAAATGCCAGAGTAAACAGGACAAATCTCAATCAACTAGAGTTCAAACACAATTTAATCTTAGAAGTCGATAACCATGCCATCAATATCTTCATCTTCATCTTCCATCGCCGCTTCTTCTTTCGGGTCGCGGAGGCAGACACGTCGAGAGAGCTTCAAACGTTCCCGTTCCCGTGCCAGAGTCTGAGCTTATGGAATCGGGAACAGATTTCTTCCATATGTTTGCCCAGTTTTGCCCCTGGGCCCTCTGCCGGTCGGATTTGCAAGGAACAGTTGCTTAGCCTTACTTTCTGCAGGTATTCGCAACACATGCCCAAGCCATCGCAGCTGTGACTTCTCAGTCTGGAAAAGCAGAGGCTGTACACCAAGGCTCTTCCGGATGCCACTATTCCGGACCATGTCGAGACGCGTAAGGCCAGCGACTCATCTAAGAAAGCCCATTTCACCAGCTTGTACCCGGGTTCGAAGTTTTTCAGTGATGGTCCACGATTCATGA